ATTAGGGTGACCGCAAAAAATCGATGCCGGAATTTTGTTCGTCTGGACCCCACAAAACGATTCCCCTTTCCAGATATTGAGATAGCCGAAATTTGAGCTCGATTAAACGACGTTAACCCGTGCCGCTCGTCGCTCAAAGTTTGAAAAAATCCAAATTTTTGGTCAAAAAGCTGACATATGGAGCCATAACTCCAGAACGGTAAATAATAAAAACACGCTTAATATACCAAAAGAAAGCTAATGTTGGTCTTAAAAATTTATATTCCATACATAATTGTTGTTATTTTAAGTCAAACCGAGTTACAACAGCCTTTGACCCAAAAAACGTGCCCTGGCAGCATTAGGAGCCAGTTTGGGTATATTCTAAGAGTTTTACGGGTTTTTACATAATGTGTCTCGGAATTAACATTTTTTATTAAAAACTATTTTGGAACTTAATTTTCAAACAAAAGGAGCCTTTTTTCAAATATAATCTTTTGTTATATGGGGATTACCTGACTAATAGTTTAATAAAAGATTAAATTTAAACAAAAGGCTCTTTAAAATCATTTTTACTATTTGCTGCAAAAATTATTATTTAGTTTTACCTGTTTGTATTTCACTAAATAAAGGTGACCCTCTTGAGTACAAAGTCTCGAAAACTTCATTACATTATAGAAGGCAAATGTTGAACATATACTAAAAAAAAATTGATAAACTAAACATTCCTGAAAAAGAGCCCGTGGTTGTCCATTGGGATGGTAAACTTTTACCGGGTATTTAAAAAAATCAACAATGTGGGCATGGGCGCCGGAAGGAACTCGTCTAGGGGGGGGCCCTTAAAGTTTTTTACAATTTTGATAGATGTTATTTATAATCAAGTTGTACTGTAGAAGTTCACATTAAACTTAAGTCAAATAAAATATCATCTTTATAGACCAGGGTCGATAATTTTTGAAACCAAAAAAAATAACAGTAGGATGAAACCCATTGGAAAAGGAGAAGAATATAATAAAAATGAAAGGAAAAATAGGTAAATTACGGGCGATCTGACTTCGGGAAGTGGGAGGGGGGGGGGGTTTTAAGGGTAAAAAATGGTTTATCTCGATTTCCGGCAAAACTACAAGTCCTATGGAAAAAAGTTAAATGGCAAAGTTGTAGGTAATAAAAGGATCTACAACTTTTGTAATTACAATTTTTTTACATAACCTCAAAATTTATGTGAAAAGTTCAAAAAACCAAGTTTTTGGTTTTTTATTTTTATCTTTTTCAAAAAAAATTTTTTTTTCACGAAATTTGGTGAAAACTTACCTTTTTATGTCCCAAATACACTGTAATTTATTTGATTTGAAATATTTATTATTTCGCCTTATTTTGACTTAATATCAAAAAAGCACCCTAATTTTCAATCGAAAATTCTCGCGTCAAATAATCAGCTTTTTTCAAAAAGTCGGTGTGCTTTTTGTTCGATGAAATCTCTACTTTCTGATGGTGTAAAAAAAATATACATTACTATGGTAAATGTTCTCAGAAAATGCAAAAAATATTATAATGAATAACGAAAAAAACTCGAATTCGAAAATTTATTTTAATCATTATGTACAATTTCATCAAAAAAATGTGATTGTTGCAATTTTTTTTAGTTAAAAAGTTTATTTATTAAATTCTAATAACATTTATGTCAGAAAATCTCATAAAATCTAAAAATACATGTAAATCATACTATTGAATTTAGATACTTCATTCTGATTACGTAACGTTATTCATTATAATATGTTTTGTGTTTTCTGAGAACATTTACCAAAGTAATGTATATATTTTTTTACACCATCAGAAAGTAGAGAGTTTATCGAACAAAAAGCACACCGACTTTTTGAAAAAAGCTGATATTTTGACGCGAGAATTTTCGATTGAAAATTAGGGTGGTTTTTTGATATTAAGTCAAAATAAGGCGAAATAATAAATATTTCAAATCAAATAAATTACAGTGTATTTGGGACATAAAAAGGTAAGTTTTCACAAAATTTCGTGGAAAAAATTTTTTTTTTGAAAAGAAAAATAAAAAACCAAAAACTTGTTTTTTTGAATTTTTCACATAAATTTTGAGGTTATGTGAAAAAATTGTAAATACAAAAGTTGTAGATCTTTTTATTACCTACAACTTTGACATTTAACTTTTTTCCATAGGATTTGTAGTTTTGCCGGAAATCGAGATAAACCATTTTTTACCCTTAAAACCCCCCCCTCCCACTTCCCGAACTCAGATCGCCCGTAATTTATTTTTCCTTTAATTTTTATTATATTCCCCTCCTTTTCCAATGGGTTTCATCCTACTGTTATTTTTTTTCTCTTTTTACCATTTTTAAAGGCTCCTGCACTGGTCTATTATATGTATTTACCTATTTATTTATATTGGTACATATTGCAAAAAATACATCACAGTTTTTTGGTAAATATATAAATATAAAAAAATTGTATCGCCGAGGAATCTCCTCTAGTAGTACAGCCGTCTTATGTATACGCTATACAAATTATGATAAATTAAAATATAATGAATGATAACGATCAGCACTTACCGTCAAATTATGGAGTACCGGAAATTCTGGGTATGAAATTCCAGGGGGGGGCCCGGGCCCCCCCCTGCCCCTATGTAGCGGCGCCCATGAATGTGGGCGAATAGCTATTGCTATTTCATATGGCGAAAAGGAACAGCTGCTGGGAGTTCCTGTAACAGCAAACAGCTCTGGAGAGGAGCAAGCCGTATATGAATGCCTACATGAATTGGGTCTTCTCAACACCGTCAAGGCGATGTGCTACAGCATCCAATAAGGGAAGACTCAAAGGAGCATGCGTCATATTGAAACAAATGTTAGAAAGAGCATGGTTATACCTAGCTTGCCGTCACCATATCTTGGAAATTATGTTCAAAGGCGTATTCGACACAAAAATGGGATCAATCACTGGACCTCATCCAGACATTTTTAAGAGATTCCTCACTGCGTGGCCCAAGATAGACAAAGGAAAATACAAAACGGGTATCAGTGACAATCTAATACGAAAGCAGCTAACTCCAGAAGTAATTGCAAATGTTACTGCTGAATTCGAGACCAAATTAACTGAGAGCCACCCCAGAGATGACTACAAGGAGCTATTGCAGTTGGTTCTCATATTTGTTGGATCACTAGACGGCAATGTTGTAGGTTTTAGAATTCCAGGAGCCATTCATCACGCTAGGTGGATGGCAAAGGCTATTTACTGCTTAAAAATGTTCATTTTTCGTCGTCAATTTAAGATTTCTGTTTTCCTAGTTAAAATTTATTGTAAAGCTTGGTTCAATGCTCCAAAAGCTCATCTTGCACCAAAACAAGATTTTGCATTTTTGCATAGTCTGTTAGACTATAAAGAATGTGACAACGACATTGCATGAATAGCCCTGACCAAATTTTCGAATCATTTGTGGTATTTGAATGCAGAGTTGGTGGGATTATCTTTTTTTGATCCCACCATTACAGACGATGAAAAGTTGTTAATGGCTAATAAATTGGTCTGTAGCACAGATGAACCATCAGAGCACGCTAGGGTTGTAAATCCAAAAGTTAGGAAAGAAAAATTAAAAGAGGTTGTTAATGGAGGATTGGTAAATTTACATACCAAAGAAACATTTACATTCTTTGACCGATTTAATATAAAAACAGATATGGCTGAGCGTGGTGTTAAATTAATAACCGACTTTAACAACCTTCTGACTAAAGATGAAGACCAAAAGCAATATATCCCGCAAGTTGTAAGCAAATGCCGAGCATTATATCCTGACGTTTCAAAAACTACTTTAACAAAAGCTCTAGAATAGATTAGATAACTATGTAAAATCAACTCATGTCTACAGGTACTACGTCTGTATCTTTTATGTGTCTGTTTTGTATTATGTATTATATACCTAATTTTTATATTTTAAAATAAAAAATGTCATTAAACTTATCAGTATTACTTGTTTTTTTATTATACTTCTACTTTAAACTCAAAAATATACCAAAAAAAAGCAAAATTTATCACTTAATAACAAAATATACGAACTATACTCCTAGTGGTACCAGGTCATGTTTTTGGGGCTAAAGGCTGTTGTAACTCGGTTTGACTTAAAATAACAACAATTATGTATAGATTACAAACAACATTAGCTTTCTTTTGAGATATTAAGCGTATTTTTATTATTTACCGTTCTGGAGTTATGGCTCCATATGTCAGCTTTTTGACGAAAAATTTGGATTTTTTCAAACTTTGAGCGACGAGCGGCACGGGTTAACGTCGTTTAATCGAGTTCAAATTTCGGCTAACTCAATATCTGGAAAGGCGAATCGTTTTGTGGGGTCCAGACGAACAAAATTCCGACATTTTTTTCCACCCCCTATGAGATGCGGTCACCCTACTGGTTATACGTCTCTTATACTCATACTCATACTCATTTTAAATATTTTTTTATTTTAATAAAATATATAATAAAAATTTAAAATCGAATAAAATCTGTAATATTTGGATTTTTTAAATAAAATTTTAAATTTGTCGATAAATTATAGTAGATAATAAATTGCAGCACTTTAATAAAATAGGAGGGCCTGGAGGCGGGTGAGGCAACAGGAAAAACAAACTTTTTTTTGCAAACTTCAATTTAAATTCTGTTTGCGCCGAACTTGTTTATTTATGTCATTATACAAAATTGTAAGACGAGTGAATGAAGTAGTGAAATTTGCTCCGTAAATAAACCTAATTTTAAAGGGGAAAAAGTAAAGTGTTTTTGATAAGATTTGTACCAAAATGCTAAGAAAAGCATGTATAATATTCTTTAATTAATAGCAAATAGTGAATAGTGTTTAAACAATTAAATAACAAACAATTAATCGCTAACAAAATCTATGAAACAAGCTGTTTTTATGATAAAAAAGTGAATAACTTAAAAAAAACGTTTATAAACAATAAACATTTGTTGAGTGGTGTGCACAGGTCAGTAATAAGGAAATTTAAAAATGGCTTATCCATGTGGAGTATGTGAATATGACTGCAAATCTAGTTCCGTGGAATGTAACCAATGTAGGACATGGTTTCATGGAAAATGTGTAAAACTAAGTACAGCACAAATAAATCATTATTTCGCAGAGCAGAAAAAACCTAAAGGAGATAAATGGATATGTAATAGATGTAGTAATGAAGAGGAATACACTACTGCTGACGTAATTAGAAGATTAGATTTTATGAAACAAAAATATAATAAGCTGTTCTCAAAGTATGAAGAACAAGTAAATTTAAATATAAAACTTCAAGAGGAAATTGAGAAAATTAATGTAAAACTGCAGGTGGAAATAAATAAAAATGAACAAATTAGGCTTTCAAAAAATGTAATTATACAAGGAATAAAGAAACAAGATGATAAGGAAAAAACTGCGAATATTATAAAGCTTATTGGGGAAAAACTAAATTTAAATATAGAGCCTGAAATTTCTTTTAGATTAGGCAAATGCGAGAAGGGAGAAGAAAATTTGATTAAAGCTATACTTAAATCTGAGGAAGAAAAGAATGCCCTCTTGAAAACCCAAAAAGAAAAGAAAATAAGTACTGCAGATCTAGGATTTGGCTATGATAACAAAATTTATATTAATGAAGAGCAAACTAAAGAATATAGAGAACTGAGTGCCAAGGCAAGAAAATTAAAAAAAGATGGCATTATTGAATTAACTTGGTTCAAAAATGGAAAGCTTTTTGTTAGAAAGACTAAAGACAGTCAAACTCAAATCATAGAAACTGATGATCAATTACTCCAATTAAAAAACTAAAGAAATCCACATCCAAAAATCAAATTAAAATTTACTACCTTAACATAAGAAGCATGAACAATAAAATAGAAGAAATACAAGAATTATTAATCATAAATGACATAGATGTACTAATCCTAACAGAAACCTGGCTTTATAAAAATCAAACACAATATTATAATTTAAAAAATTATAAGTCAGTTCATTCATGTAGGGATACTAGAGGAGGAGGAACTGCAATCTACGTAAAAAATGAGATAAAACACAGTGTAAATAACATTGAAAATCAGCTAGAAACAGACATTGCAAGTGTTTACTTACAAGAACAAAAACTTTTTATTTTTGGTGTGTATAGACCTCCGTCATTTAGTTCCATTCAATTTTTTGAAGTGTTAGAAACTATGTTGTGTAAACAGAAGAAACGAACTTTGGTGTTTGGCGACATGAATGTCAATTTACTTGACAAGCAAAACAAATCAGTTGTGGACTATATTAACTTAATAAACTTAAATGGATTCAAGATCATCAATGAAATAAATGAAGAGAGTGCAACTAGAATTATGGGACACACAAGAACGGTTATTGATCATGTTTTATCGAATTGTAATATTAATTGTAAAGTACAAATTGTACAAAATAGTTTTTCAGATCATAATGCTATTCATGTAAATCTAAAAGTGTAAGTGTGTAAGTGTTTGCAAAACAATTCATAGGGTAACTCTAGATAAACGAAAATTTTATAGACTTGTGAATAATGATATTAATAATAGCCAAATAGAATCATTTAGTGAGCTTATTAAAATTTGTACTAAATGTAAAAGACTAGCGAGTAAAGAGGTTACATTAAAAAATATAAAAAATGATTGGGTGACCTTAGACTTTTTAAATTTAATTAAGGAAAGAGAAGCGATTTACAAATTAAAAATTAAAAATCCAAATAATATACAAATTAAAACTAAATTTAATTTTATAAAAAATAAAATAAATCACCAAAGAAAATTATTAAACACTAATTACTTTCGCAAAAAGTGGAATAATGCGGGATCAAATTTTAAAAAACAGTGGGCAGTTATAAATAACATCACAACACTTAAGTCAAATAAAAAAGAAAATTGTAGTCACTTAATAGTAAATAATTCTAATATAACATTAACACCTGACATAGTTTCAATCAGTACTTTTCAACAGTAGGCTCAAACATAATAAATTCATTAACCTCAAATAATAAAACTAGATTTAACAAAACATACAATCAAAACACAATGTATGTCAAGGCAACCAATAACCAGGAGATATTTACAGTTATAAAAAAAATTAATAAAGGCTCAGCTCCAGGCGGAGATGATATTGTTGTTGAGGATCTATTGATTATTATTGACCTTATATTGCCAATTATTACAAAACTGACAAATCAAATTATTACAACGGGGATATATCCTAAAGAGCTAAAAATTACTAGAGTTATTCCAATCCATAAACAATCAGATACCACATCACTAGAAAACTATAGGCCTATATCTGTAATAAGCATCTTCTCTAAAATTGTCGAAAAAATAATTAAAATTAGAGTATTAGAATTTATACAAAAACACAATTTAATTGATAGTTTTCAGTATGGATTCCTGGAAAACTCTTCAACTCAAAGTGCTGTGATAGATTTCGCTGATTACGTTTGTAACCAACTTGATAAAAATAAATATGTTGCTACTGTATTTGTCGATTTAAAAAAGGCATTTGATGTTGTGGACCATGAGGTGTTATTGGATAGAATGGAGAGTATGGGTCTCAGAGGCAAAATATTATCAATAATTAATTCATACCTAACAGACAGACAACAGTATGTAGAAATTAATAAAACCAAAAGCGCACTGGCAAGAGTTCCCTGTGGTGTTCCACAGGGGTCTGTACTACGTCCCTTACTATACTCAATTCATGTCTTAAGTCTTAAAGAAGCCGGACTGTTAGCCCAGTACTATACATTTGCTGATGATACCATTCTGGTCTACAGCAGCGAAGGCCTTCACAGTCTGGAAATGGCAGTAAACAACGACCTTAAAAGATACACTGATTGGTTAGAATGGAGTAAATTTAAAATAAATGTGAATAAAACTACTTATATGATTTTTAAACAAAAAAACAAATACTTTCGTGAACTACACATTACCCTAAATGATATCAAATTAAATAGAGTCAAATACACAAAATACTTAGGATTAATAATAGACGAAAATCTAAGTTGGAATAAGCATATTGAGTATTTAAGCAATAAAATAATTCCCATGGTGGGTGCAATTTATAAGTGTAGAGACTACTTAGACAAAAATTCAAAATATAACATTTACTATGCTTATTTTTATTCAATTTTAATTTATTTGATTCCGATTTGGGGTACTTGCTCAACAACATTATTTAACAAAATGCAAAGACTGCAAAATAAAATCATTAAAGTAGTATTTAATATTCCATATCTAACAGCAACCGAAGAAATATACAAAAAATTAAATATTAAGCCACTAAAAACTGTAAAAAAAATTGAACAATGTAAACTAGTGCATAAAACAATCAATAAAAACCAAAAAACTAATCATAAATTTATATTATGCAAAGAGATTCATGATCATAATACTAGGAACCAAAGCAAAATTTATTTAACAAATACACATTCTAATATAGGTTTGAATAATCCAATAAATTGTAGTGTGGAAAGTTATAACATGTTACCCCAATCAATAAAAAATATAAAAAATAATAATATATTTAAGAAAAACTTAAAAAATAATTTCTTAAACGAAATATAAAAAATTCGCTACAGTCTCCATCACCAGCACAGGGTGCTGATTAGGAGTCTAAATTATTTTCGTTTATGTATTGTATCTTCTCGGACCAAAAAATATTATTAAAATATCTAGTTTATAAGTTTACTTATTTGGAAACAATTGTACAGGACAGTTAAAACGAAAATAAAGATCTTAAAAAAAAAAATAAACTATTATAAATTTGGTGTGGGTCCCATGTCTAATAACTGAGATATTGGTATACATAAAATCCACCAGCCGCCACTGTTTGACACTTAATAATATAAACTAACACTCAATAAATCATGAAAACAGTAAAAACAGCATACTAATCAAACTCTATTAGATTTGTAAACACATTAGATTATAATAGAATAATTGCGCTTGTCATTTGTTTAACTAATAAATAAATGCAATACTTAATTTTTGAAATTAAGGAAAATAGAGAAAACAATTCTACCACAAAACGTGCGTGGGCAACACAATAATTAAAAAATTGTTAGAAATTTCGCACTACTGCGGCAATAAACAACTAAAAAGAAAACATCAAAAGCTACAAGTTACATATCCAACTACTGAACTATCTATTGATGGTTTTCGGCCTCAAGACTGAAGACACATGTGCAGGAACAATCCTACTTGGACACGGACACGAACAATAACGACAAAAACCTAGACCAAGACGTAGGATCCTGCAGCAAAATAACAACTCCCGAAATCCATACAGTAATCCCGAAATGTTTGGAGTAATACTAACTACCTGGTCTAGAGGGGTACCGCGTCTTACTTAGATTTGTCCCCCAAACACCAAAATATCTATTCCTTCCGTCCTACCTCCTTCATGACCCTACTATTGGCATTTCGCTCTCGAGCCCTAATTAGGGGACAGTACGGGATGCAATGGACAATCGCAACCAGCAAACACGGGTGAAGCCGTGCTGTTGTTGGTGGCGAAAGAAAATCGGCGCAAGGAAACAGAGGCCTATGCAGGGCCTGTGAGCGTTGAGGCAATGGGGCCGGTTATACGTCTCTTATACTCATACTCATAGCTTCACTTTATTTAAAATTAAAAAAAAAGCTGTTCCAAAACATTCAATTTTCTTAGTTTCTTTAAGAAAGTTTCTTGACCCATTACTGGTAATATTCATAAGAAAAAAAATTGCCACTACACCAAGTTGCCCGACACTGATTAGACCCAATATAGGTCGAAACAGCTGTCTGTCGGTATTTGAAATTGGTGGAACGCACTCAAAACAAAAAACTTTGGCGAGGTGTAGGATCAATTTTTTTTCTGGTCCAAAAGATGCCAGCAAGTGGTAGTAGTAAAATAATGAAAATTAAAAAAAGATTTTACATTAAAGGTATTTAATTTTGCTTTAAAATTTTTTTATTCTTAATAAAAAACAGCATATGTAGTACCCTAACACTAGTACTTTTATTTACGATTTAATACCTAATAGGTACATTGAGAGAAAATCGTAAAGAAAAGTACTAATGGTATGGTTAGCAACACTTTTTTACTTAGCAAAACTTTTATTAAGAAAAGGCTTGAACGTCTATCTGAGGGATCAGTAGTATACGAGGGGCGATTTAATAATAATATCATCTTTGATGATTTTTATTTTAATAATTAATGATTTTTTTTTCTTTCTTGTGGAAATTTTCACTCAATAAAAAACTTTTCTTCACTTATAGAATAATCTACTACAAATCTGTCAATATTCATGTTCGTAGAATATAATACCAACAAAATTATTCAAAACAGAAATTGGTTTATAAATTAAATTAAAGCTTGCGAACTCAAATAATATACACAATGTGTATTACACATGCTAGAAAATGGTAAAATTTACTATCAATTGATTAACGTATTAAATGATTTCATTGTATGGCACGTTAAGAAACCTGGAACTTATCAGCGGATTTAATAAAGAATATTACTTTACAACAAAATTTCACAAATATGTTAATATCTTAAATTCTTAAATATTTAATATACAATATGTCCCGAAAATGGCGCACAAATTTATCTAAAATCAATTTTATAATAACGTTTTTAATATATTTATTAAAAATCCGGGAGTGGCCTTAACCATCGACACTGTCATCCACGAACTCCTATCAAATATACGATTTTTACCAAAAAAACTTCTTTACAATTTTTTCTTAATAAAGTATGCTCTTTTCCTAGATATTTACATTACCAGACGCAAAAGTTTACTTTTAGGCGCAAGGTGGTTTGAATGGTTGAGGCAAAGAAAAGCGTAGTTTGGGCTATTCAAAAACTGCGAGCACCTTAAAGGGATTTTGCAGCGTTTAATATATTAAACTTTTTATTCTGACCTCAACAATTAATAACTATAAAAGCAGAAATTTGTAAAAATTGATTAAGTTATAATTATAACTAAAAAAATTACCATAAGGTTGCTTGGGTTCAATATTATATATATATTTATATATGTATATGGTAACAATACTGCTTTGTTGCGTAATAATTTTCGAGTATTTAGTTGTAAATTAGGTCAAAATGATTTCAATTAAAAAAGCCTTGAATATTGCTTGCTGAAGTTTGTTAGCGGAAAAATCCAAGTTTCAACGATGTTTCCATAATAACTGAAGATATGTTATTGGCGTCTTTCTTAGAAAAATCAGACATTTTCTTTTTATACATTATGGTCCGAATACTTATGCTCGTATGCACCGTATGGACTTAAGCTCGATTAAGAGTTTAAACTCGCTTAGTTCGAAAGTTTGTCATGCACTGCGCGAAAAATGTAGTTTAAGTGTTCGATTACGAGATCCACCGGCGAGGTAGGTTTAATCGCAGGATAAACTGGTTTTCTAATCAAATTGATTAGTTTGGTTAGGGTTGGGTTTTCGTTGTAGTGGATTTCAAGGACTAGTATAATTAAATTATGCATTTAAAAGAAGAACTATTTGTAGAAGATGATTAAAATATTCTGGACATAATTAATTTTGGATTTCCGCGACAAAATTATGAAAGGAGCAAATATTTTGACACCATGAAGAATTTTTCGTTTTTTCGCCGATTTCGATTGACTAAACCAACCGTTCTAAACTTTCTTAATGAAATTGAATATTGAAGCCCAGTTCTGTTAGTTTTTTTGTCTTACAATATTTTAGAATACGTCGGTTCCAGTACACAATAGCACACTCTAAAATTTTTAATAGAAATTTTCGACACAAATGGATATAAAACCACATTTTAAGCATATTTAGGTGCAGAAAAACCAAACTTTCCCTAAAATACATGTTTATAGTGTTAAATTCAACAAACCTTGCTTAAAACTGTCACCTTTTCTATGTACAGCACTGAATTTTAAACTGTCAAAATTTAAAATGACAGAATTAGTGTTTTAAGGTTGGTTATCATGTATTTCAATGTTGCCAAGTTTAAATTGGCAAAAGTATCACATTATTTTGTAATTTAAAATGTATATTGTATCAAAATAAATTCCGAAATATGCTAAACATTAAAGGAAATATTGAAATTACGGAAGTATGGGCAAAGTTTTTAGGTAAATATAGGAATAATAATATAATATTATCTTAATTAACGGTACCTATTTAGGCAACCAGGATAACAACATATTTCAATTTATTATATTATCATTTAATTAATAATAATAATAATGCTTTATTGAACTAAAACCAAGTTCAAAGGCTATTGACCGTAGTCCTTCAGCCGACATTTAATTAAATACTTTAAATAATTTTAATTTAAATACTTATACATGTAATTATTAAAATAAATTAATTATATTAGGTATTGGATTAATTTTTGAACTTAATTTAATATCATAATTTGAAAATTTTGTTTTTAAACAATAGTATATTACACTACAAGGGCAGAAAGTGTGAGATTCCTGCACTCTCACACTTTCTGCCCGTGTAGTGTATACTATTTTTCTTACTACCTCGGCCGAAAATACAACCCAACTCAACCCGGCCGAAAATACGGGAAAAAATTAAATGTGTATATCGAAACATATTGACATTTGCGGCACGAGCGAAGCCTTCGTAGCCCTTGTAGTGTAATATACTCGAAAATACGTTGTTTCGTCCTCGATTCCAATGCATCAAACGTAAATTTGACCAATGCATCAAACGTAAACTTTCTGCCGTGGAATCGGGGACGAAACAACGTATTTTCGGCCGAGGTAGTAAGAAAAATTTGTTATTATTGTTGTCATTTAATTGATATAGGTGTACCTATTAAGTAGTGTTAATTTATTTGTGCTAATTGCTACTTATTTCAAAATGAATATTCAATATTAATAATGTTTATGAGGTTACATCTAAGTCAGATGAAGAGTTAATAACTGCATTACATCAGGATGGACCTGTAAAGGCCCAGTTACGCTGTAAGGTGAGGAACTGTAGGAGAATTTGCATTTTAAGACCCAGAGCTGAAGTGTATGTCCTGGACTACGCCTTTTTCGGTTTGCAGGATCCGGCCGTTTTTGCTGGGTTAATAAAATTTATTTTATTATATTCTTCGTTGTCCGGGTCACACTATCAGAATCGACCAATAAGAACGAGTTATCACGCGTCTGGGAGTTTTTGTTTGACCAAGCCTTGGCGGGCTTGGTCATTGCCCATTGCGCGCGCGAAATTGAGGTCTGGCACTGACCAAGCCCGCCTTGCTTCGCTCGGCATTTATTTAATTTGATTACGTTTACAAAGAGCCTAGGCCCGGCTTGGTCAGTCCCTGAGCCAATTTTGCGCGCGCGAAATTGGGCTCAGGCACTGACGAAGACCCCCTCGCTTCGTTCGGCATTTATTTAATTAAATTACGTTTACCAAGAGCCTCTTGACTCGTTGGGGGGATAGAGCAGTGCGCTTGGTAAAGTTTTTAGAAGGAGATAAAAATAGTATTCTTTTATAATTTTTTTGTATTTCCATTGTAACGGGTGCGACACACAATAAAGTGTTTGTTCATATACATATATTAAGATACGTAAATATACAAAAATAGTAGGTATATAATTTTATAGAAAACCTTTTTTAACGTTAAAATCGCGTAAAAGGCGCGAAATAAAAAAATCGGTAAATGCGACAAAGTTGGCTTCCAAAGTTCATCCTGTAAAATTTTGGATGAAGCATACAGTCTCACCAGCAAAGGTACCTTAGACGTTTACTGAGAACGGCTGAGGATATCAATTTGAAATTTTTATAGCAATTATTGTACAATTTAATCTACCTTTTAAAATTATTTGGAATAAAATTCCTCTTCCTGTTTAACCGGAACCGACATCAACTTTGTTATTTCCAATGGAACACCCTACATTTTTTTTTATTTTTAAATTCCTCATGAAATTCTTAATGAAATTGCTGTACCATTCCCTATACCTAAACTTAATAGTTTTCGAGTTAATAATTTTTTTCGTAACATTTTGACAGTTGCACCTTCATTAAAAATTGCTTATAACTTTTTTGATATTCAGTTTTCTGGTATGCTGTAAGGATTTTTGGAATCTTAAAACATTGTTTTAAAGATTCCATGTCTGAAACTTTCATATTTATGATCAAAAACCAGAGAAAAATCGTGGTAAATTTGGTTAACTTCAAACATTAATAACTTGTTTATTTTCAATGGAACGGTATGCATGTTTTTACATAATTAAATAGGAAAATGAATTACATTTTGATTGGTATAACCATTCCCTATACCTAAATAGTAAGGTTTCGGAAATACAAGCAAATTTCTGTAAAAATTCAATATTTTGACATATTTATCTCAGATGCCGATGAAATGTCACAACAAATTAGTTATGTCATTGATTGAGAGTTGATACATTTCTTAACCAAGTGGTGTTCAAAATTTTCAAAAGCGTTAAAAAATTAAGTAAAATGGATAGAAACAACTATTCCAATAAGGTTTTGATGCAAATATTTATTATTCACGGACAATATAATCAAATAGTAACAAGAACATGCAGATTATTAAACGACAGGTTCCCAGATTTACCACCACTGAACAAGAGGAAGTTTAGAAGAATAAAACATAATTTTATTAATTTTGGGTCACGACTGATAGCAGATAGACCAAGACCCAAGCCAGTATGCAAGCGAGATAAGGAGGGCAACAACGGAATCTCCCAAGCACCGCATTTTAAAATGTTTGCAAGTCAATGGTCGCCATTTTGAACATATATTAAAATAGTATTTTGGTTGTTATTTTTTCCATCACGTTTTTTATAATTTATAATAATTAAATTCTTTAAAATTTATTATATGTTGTTTTCCATTATTTTTAAAATATCTTTATGATCTTTAGAAATGTATCAACTGTCAATCAATGACAACTACTTAATTTGTTGTGACATTTCATCCGTATCTGAGATAAATATGTCAAAATATTGGATTATTACAGAAATTTGCTTGTATTTCCGAAACCTTACTATTTAGGTATAGGGAATGGTTATACCAATCGAAATGTAATTCATTTTCCTATTTGATTATGTAAAAACATGCATACCGTTCCATTGAAAATAACCAAGTTATTAATGTTTGAAGTTAACCAAATTTACCACGATTTTTCTCTGGTTTTTGATCATAAATATGAAAATTTCAGACATGGAATCTTTAAAACAATGTTTTAAGATTCCAAAAATCCTTACAGCATACCAGCAAACCGAATATCAAAAAAGTTATAAGCAATATAAAGATTTTGTAGGTTTTGGTGGAAATACCCATAAGCATATTGTAAATTAAATGAAAACAAAAATCATTTAGAAAATGTTAATTATAATATAATTTATAAAGGATTAAATCCTAATGAAATATGAACGGAAAATTTTTGTGCTTAAATTTTCCTTAAGAGTAGAAATAACATAAGAAATATCTATATACGTATACATTTACTTACCATTTAAATTTCCAGTTGGTTCTTTTTCAGTGCTTTCGTTTTTTGATTTCCATTTTCTAAAACAAAAGTTTTATTGAGATACAGATAAAAGTTTTTATTAAGTCTGTAGCAAATAAAATAGTAATTTATGTCATTAGACTGAGAAATAGGTATTTTTGTGTTGAGCTTAAAGTTTCGATTCCGACACGTAGCGGAGGCCTTTAATTTAGCAAAGCAAAGCAGACCTTCTTACCCGCATAGCATACAACATTTTATTTGTTAAACAATATATAAAACGTACAATATTAATAGTTATTAAAAGTAGAAAAAAAAGTTAGATCAAATCGGACAGTACCTAAAGTCTATTCAAAGCTGGACTAAATGTAAACACAATCCTCCGAATCGACCAATAAGAACTCACAATCCGAGTCACACCATCAGAATCTACCAATAAGAACGAGTTGTCATGCGTCTGGGCGTTTTTGTTTAGTCCAGCTTGGATTTGGATATTTTTTTATTAGTCCAAACCACAGACCTACAAACAAGATGGACCGGTTTATTTACATTGAAAAGAGTGGCCAGGAACAAAAATAAATATTTTCCCTCAGTTGTCACATTTGACTTTGAAGTTTCTATAATTTACGAAAAAGATACTTGGAATCCACAACATTTAATATTTTTTATTTGATTTTATAGTGAAAAATACCAATAGTGAGTGATATAAAAATGGTGAAGCAGTGCTACGTTTGTAAAAGACTTGGATCCAAGAATTTAAAACTTTCTTTTCATAGGTTAGTTTATTTACAAAACAAACCCTGCCAGGAGCGTAGAAACTGAATAAATAAATGAATTCACTTAAATTTTAGATTTAAAGAGCCAGATTCTACATCATCTGGAACACTAACTGACAAGGTTAGTATTTTGTTATACCTATATATTTATATATATTAAATATAATTTTTACATAGGATTGCAAAACACAATAAAAAAATGTACAATTTAATATTTTTATTTATCCCTAAAAACAGAACGCCACTGGTGTGGGAACTTGTTTATAAATACCCCTTACCCCTTTACCCCTAATCTAAATAGTTCTTGGCAACAAAACATTGTGTATTTTGAATAGGAATGGCCAGTCCATTTTGTTTGTAGGTCTGTGGTTCAAACAGGTTTTTTATAAACTAAAATGTAAAATACTTTACCCGATTGGTCTAAATTATTTTACCAGCCCAGGAGGTTTTTTTGATTAAAAATAATAGTACATTATAGACCAGGAGGAAAAATCACATATTATCGCCGAGCATACATTTTAGATTGTGTCCGAAGCAATTAATAAGCTTCCGTTGCCGGGTTTTATATACTAAATTTTGTCAAGCTTTTGTGTTTGTCATTGTGGACTTCTGTAATTTGGCCTGGTGCCTGTTGAAAGCAAATTCAAATAATAAAATAAAAAATAAAATAAATTTTTATTTTTAAACTTAATTTTATTTGTTAAAATTATAATTATAATAATTATTAAAACTAGAAAGTGGGGGTTAGATTATATCAGACAGTAGTCGTATTTTTTACAGACCAGGAGGTAAAATACTTTCAATTAGTTTTTACTGTCTGGGAGGTTGTTTAATTAAAGGTAATGGTTATATATGGCATAAGTCTTATTGTGCTGAACTCCAAGTTTGACACGTTAGCGGTAGTGTCCGACCGAATGTCAGTTTTGGCCGAAGCCGAAGCCGAAGGTTCGGCTCTTGTTGCAACCTTAGGCCGAAGCCGAAGGTTTAATAAGAATTAAAAATTTATAAAAATTGACTTGACTAAACTAAAAAAAATATATAACAATATAAATAGTGAACTTCAAACAACGCCGTGTTAGTTAGCGAGGCCTACAATTGACTGAAGCACTAAAAGACACTTTTCTTCTGAATGGCATACAAAATTTTATGATGATGACACATTATGATGTAAACAACTTCACCTGATTGGTCTTAAATATTTTAACAGTCTAGGAGAATACTTTAGAGGTAAGATTAAATATATTTTTCTTAAAATATTGGTTTTGCAAAAATGGCGAATGCGCTGGGAATAATGTCAACCGGCTTGGAAAGATTAGGGGAGAGTGGGGAGGGTCTGGACACTGGGAGACAATGGACACTTTCAAATTTCGCGGTTCCAGTAAAAATTTCAGGATGGTACTACTATTACAGATCGTCAAGTTGGTAAGGTATCAAATAGTGGTAGTGAAATAAGTTTGAGTTTGGCTGAAAAGTTTATTTTCGAGTTTTTTCATGTAATATTTTACTTTCATGTAATATTTCAAGTAATATTTTACTTTCCCCTTGTAAGCTTTTCTGCCCAGACCGTTGTAGATAAATAATTTAATGTTACTACATATTAAAGCATGGAACTTTTGTTATATCCTTACTTTATTCCGTTGCTATATTTTGAAATTATTAACCTTTTTTTGTTCCACATCATGTAGGGAGAGTTTAGACTCACTGTCTAGAGTCTTCCTCTATTGTCCAAACATCGTCCCGGCACTTCGTTAGCAGAATATTGCAAAAATTTAACCGAGGATATACAGTCAAATAATTGGACTTAAATTCCTTAAAAGGCAGTTTCCATCATACAGTTTTAAAGAAACAGATGAAGGTGAAGCCTTGGTGGATTTTAAGGACGTGGTATTGGTTCTTCCCCCTCACTGACGGAGTTCGATTCCATAACATGATTTACTTTAATTTTGATTTATCGCAATTTAGTATTGTATAAGTTTTGCACTGATTTTTTCAATAAAATTCCTAAATTTATAATATTTTTAAAGTGTCCAAATGCACTATGCGTATGCTGTCCAGAATCTCCCCGTATGTGGGGTGACTTTGGACAGATGCAAACCCATCTTACGGTTTAAAGTGCACATATTTATCTCTTTGCGTTTTCAGAAGTCAACACTATTACCTGAAACTTTGAAATTAGAAATAATTACATTTTTAAGAGACCCAGGCAAAAAAATCTAAAAATTGTCCAATGTCTACCCACTCTCCCCATACTTATAATTATTGTATTAAATAAAAATATTACATACCTATTTTCTTCCAGTCGAGTGGTAGACAATGCCTTGATCCTTCTATTTCCGGAAGGTGCAGGAGAGCGTTGTCGGTTGCTTTCGTGAAGAGGCTGAAACAAGAAAATAGATAAATAAACTGTATCCAAGGTAAACGTTATTTATGCTGGGTAAAATAAATTGAAACAAATTTACTAATCAATTTTGAATTAGTTTTTTCCTTTAAAGAACTAACAAAATTTTAAACTCACAACCAATTATAATTATACCAAATTAAAAATAATAATTTATTTTTATTTCTAAAAAAACTACATTTTTATAAAAAATACATTAACGTGGAAAATTGGAATAAAAGCAAATATTTTACATACCTAAAAATTTCTCTTATACCTACTTATTTATATTAATTATTTTGTATGGTTTTTACCATTAAAATATTAAAGGCAACTAATTAACAAACCAAACTACCATACAAATAAATTTTCTATATATTTTTCCAAATATTTATATATTATATATATTTATATATATTTTTTTTATTACTGCCATAGCCGAAATAAAGATTTATAAACAGAAAACTTTTCCAGGGCTAAATTTTGTAAAGGGTTTTTTTATTAATAGCGACGCATTTTGTTTTTTCCATTAAAAGACTTGTGGGTTAATTATGGAAATGATTTTTATTTTAACTATGGTTTCGCGTAAAAATCGAACAAATTTTGGACATTTGTTTGCAAGTGATGCCAGAATTGAATATATTTTTTTAACCTTGTTTCTACATCTAAATGGTGAATTTTTTTCAAAAAAATTTTTTTATCCATTGACCACCGTGGGTTTTAGGCCTTAAGTCACTCTACTGTGTTAAAAATAGATAAATTTCGATATTTTGTAATAACATTTTTATTTAAAAACGTATCGATTTGAAATTAAGACAAAATGTAGACCGTATTAGTGGCAATAAATCCACGTATAATTTTTTTTCGATTTTACCATACAGGGGGCGCTGGGGACAATTTAATTTAAAATTTTACCATTATTTAAGGGTTAAAAAGTCGAAGAAGCAACGTTGTTTTATAATTTTGAGTATATCACGTTAAAGTACTGATAATTAACTATTATTTGATATATAAACTTTTATATGCAAATTATGTTTCTACGACATACGCGATTTTTAAGTTTGGCCTTCAAAGGGCATAATACTAACGTGTTTTACAAAGTATATATTCTTTTATCTAGTTTTATAAGATTATGTATTGTATATTACATATTATACATTATATATTACATATAATATATTATATATAACATACAATTCTTACATATTTATTTTAAAAAGTCGCCATAGATGGAGCTAAAATTACTTTTATTTATAAATTTTACATTTTTTCAACTTGACTAATTTTGATCATAGTATGCATCGTAGACTTTTCTCTATGGTAACCTACAATTGTAGCATGAAATATAATTTGACAGTTCAGTTTATAAGTCAGCAAATGACTTTCAATTTATAAGTGTACTATAAACCCAAAACATTAATTTTTTTTTAAATTAATAAACTAAATAATAATTATAGACAGTGTCAGCAAGTTAGACATAATAACCTAATTATAGCTACTTTAATTTTATTTTTTGCTGCACAACCAAGCTTCAATTTATTTTTTACTCGATAAGCAAGCTTTAATTTTCATTCCAAACTGAGGAAAGTAATACCTATTTACCCAATAAATAAATTAGAATAAAGACCTTATTTTTTATGTTGCAATTGGCTATTTATTGTATATTTTTTATTAAGTTGGTTTTTGCTTTTTTGTAATTGGTTATTTTGCGTTTTTTTATATTTATTATAATGCCATACAGGGTGTTTCTGAAGAAACGCAAAAGATATAGATTTGATATTTTAATAGCATATACAATTTGATATAGACTATACAATTATTAATAGTTTTCAAGATATTATTATTTTTTTTTGTTAAAATTTTGCTAAATGCACGTTAATCAAAAATAGCATCTAATTTTTTTGTTATTAGGTTTGCTGACATGGGGTTAGAATTTTTGGAATATTAAAACATTGTTTAAATAATTTTTTAAAGGTTTTTCAACAAATAGCGTAAGAAAAAACACTTGAAATTAGGCAAAGTTCAAACAATAATAACGTTTTTATTATAAATGTAAAACCCTGTATGTTTAAAAAAAATTAAAAAATCTTTCGATTGGTATTATAATAACTGTTTCCCAAAGTTAAAATTTCAGAGATATTTAACAATTTCTAATATTTTTAATACTATTTTGTATCAACAAACCTGTGAAATTATACATGTGGGTTAATGTGATAGTATTCATGGTTACCACCAAATCCATTGTTTAAAATTAATTAAAATATTTGATTGAAAAATTAGTAACTCGAGAAATATTGACTTTGGGTATAGGATATCGTATAGCCATTTTATTCAGAATTTTATGTAGAAATAAAAAATGTAAAAATGGATGAGGTTTACTGTTTACAATAACAAAGTTAAAGACATTTCCGGTAAAACAGGAAGTACTATTTTGTTCAAAATAATTTAGAAAAATGGATTATAAACTCTTTTAAAATTTCAAATAGATTTTTTTCCCGTTCCCTAGAAACTTATAATGGACCACGAATGTGGAACACCCTGTATATAAAATAATTACGTATATTAGTGGCACACTAAAGTCTAAATCGAATAATTTACGCTATTAAAATTTTAAACCGATGACTTTCGCGATTCCCCAGAAACTTCTAACGGATTACTTACGTGAAACACCCTGTATATTAAAGTCATTTATGTGTTATCCTATACTTAATTATTAATAAAAGATACAACAATATTAGTATAAAAATGACAAAATGTACCAAACTAAACATTTATGAATACTGCTACTGCTAATTAAAAACTGATCCTGGCCACAGAAACATCATTTGCATAAAAAAGTTAATATATCAAATAATAGTCAAATATCAATACTTTAACGTGTTATACTCAAATTTATAAAACAATGTTGCTTCTTCGATTATTTACCCTTTAAAAATTGTTAAATTTTAAATTAAATTATCACCAGCGCCCTCTGTACGTTACAATCTAAACAAAATTTTTAAATGGAAGAATTGTCATTAGTAAGATCTACATTTTGTCCAAATTTCAAATCAATACGTTTTGAAATAAAAAAATTATTTAAAAAAAATTAAATTTCTTCATTTTTAACACAATGAAGAAAAAAATAAATATAAAAACAAAGTTGTCAATGGAGGAGATTTTTTTTTTGAAAAAAGTACTGCATTTATATGTAGAAATATGGTAAAAAAGTTTGAATCGATTTCTTGAACCCTTGCAAATCGACCGTTCGATCCTTTCGCGAAACCGTAGTTAAATGAAAGCACAATCGATGCCATTATTTTTGGAATACGACATCGTTAAAATGTTTGCCGCGGAAGCGTTGGCACGAGTGAATACGCTAGACCCAATTTTTCTTGACTCGAGCACACAAAACGGCCTAAATACCAGAAATTTTGCGGCATAGACCAGCGATTTAATGGAACCCCAAAGAAAAAAGTCTAAAGGGGTTAAATTGCACGAGGCGGCCATTCGCGGGGACCGTTGCGTTGCGATCGAAAATTGGCGTAAGCTCACGCAGCGTAGCTACGCGTAGTCGCGATAGAACGTGAACTTATAAAAAAGTTGAATAATTTGCAAACGTTGTTAAAGCGTGTATCTCTCCATGATTAAATGGCATAGCCTTACGTTTTAAAATGTAAAAGAATTGCTAAGCCAACTACACTCCTATTCGAGAAATGTCAAAAACAAAATGCGTCGTCCTTATTGAAAAACCCTTTATATATTAAAAAACACAAAATTTAGCTACATACTAAATGAAATTTATAATTTACAATAAATGTTGTCCAGAGGCTCTGGACCAGAGAAATATTATCAAATTTTGTGAAAAAATAATAATAATTGGTTAACCTCGATCGATAACGCTCCTTCTTTTCTTAAAAAAACCCTTAATTCACACCAAACAGCCAATTAATTTTTATCAATATTTAGCCATAGTCACTTGGTTCCAATTTATTCAAAAGGTAAGGAAATATTATATATTAATTAATCTATTTTGCGTTCATAATAACATCATTATAAAAAAATTTGATTTTATAGGTTGGCTATACTTTAAACAGCATAATATTTTGCATAGGTATTGGTTATATTTTTATGATTTTTCTAGTACTTACGAGACTTACTGGCAATAAATTTTGTTTAACACCAAAGAAAATCTTTTTTTCTTCTTTAACATTAACAGCCGCTTATTGTAAATAAGTAAATTAAGGATGGGATGGCGAATCGATTTTGACATTAACTGTCAAATCAATGACTGTGATACCAACTATTTAAAGTAAAATTTTCAAATTAAATTAAAGGTATAAAATTAATTTTTTTCATAGAACTTTTGCAAAATAGATAAAATAGCATAAAGAACTCATGTCATAAGACCTTTAATAAACTGTCCGCGTGCGACAAAATGACGTCTATTATATAATGCGGTCAACCAACCATATTTATAAATATTTATTAAAAAGAAAAGAATACTGATTTTTAATAAAACAAGGGTATATTAAAAAGTCCTTAAAATTAGAATAAAAATATTATTATTTTCGACATAATCTTCTTTTGGCCTGATAAATGTATTCCAAAGATATACTCTAACTTTTTCATTTCTTTCGAATGTAACGATTGATGTTTTTGATAAAAAAAAATTTCAGCCAACGATTTTTCAGTACTGGAAAAAGTCACAGGGGGGCATATTTGGAGAATACAGAGCAGGCGGCAGAAATTCCCACCCTAATTCCTTGATTTTTGTCAATAGCGGTTTTGTTACCTAGGGAATTGTCTTGGTAAAACATAATTTTTATCTTTTGTCTAAATAAGGAATTTTTTATATGTAAATTTTAATGCAAAATCGTAACAGATGATCCAGTTAAAATGCTACGGTCTAGCAATCTTACACATTTACTCTTTGATCTTGCAAAAGAATTTTGTCCGCATAGTGCCTCATTTGGCCGTCCAGGACGTTCAGCATCATTTTTTGATATACGAGCATGACG